TCACAGCAAACTTAACGTGGGCAAATATGATTCGCAAATAGATGGCTCCAATTTCCGAGAAACTTTAAAACAACCAATCAGAAGACTGTGTTTGTCTGCTTAACTCCCGAGAAACAAACAATCAGAAGACTGCGTTTGTCTACTTGAATAAGCTATAGTAATGTATGTGAAATATATGTATCTAAGTGATGATTTCCGTAAAAAAAACGATCTGTTGCCTGGCCCTTGTCTTCTGTTGTTACACTCTGACTAGTGTTTAGTAGTTTACGTCACCGCCACCCCCTTTATCTCAGTCGTATATTATCCAGCGTTGAAGTGACACATGGAATGAAACCCAAATTCACTATTATCATGGTAGCGAAAAGGTGTCTGGTTCAATTGCTGTCCAAAAGCCCTTTCAAGAAGGCAAGTCAGTGGGATAAACAGTTGCGTTATGTCGACCAATATGTTTCACGGTCAAGAACATCCGACCATCCAAAGAAAGGTCATGATGCATAACACGTATATAGGGTTCGAGCATAAATGACGAGGAAACATATGCACCGGATTCAACTGAATCTTAGAATGACAATTATCACAGACAGAATACGGCAAATTTAAACTTTCGACACCAAAAACAAACAATCAGAAAACGACCTTGAACGGACCAATCACATTAAATAGGCATATATGATGAATGGAAACGTATGTTTATAGAAAAAAGCATAAAAAATGATAAAATGATTACAAGGGGTATCTTTCTCGAACATGTGAGAGAAACATCTCGCAGTTTAGCATATGACTGTCAGTGGCGAAGTCACACCACATCCTGTACTTATATTCATCTGAATAGCTATAAATGAGATCCTTTTGAGATCCATTTATAGCCCTTACTTTGTTTTTCAAGAGGCCTCAAAAACTTTCAGTGGAATTCGTATGAGTTTCCGTAACGGGATCCACCCAGCAAACAAGTGACTTTCTCTATTTTCCACGAAGCAATATCTCTGCAATGCTGGTATCACTGAACTGTTGATACGAGGCTATTCTCCGTCTCGGCAGCTCCTGCTCTCACCGGCTGTTTCAACACCCAGTAGTTGCAGATATACAAAATCTGGGTTAGAGAGAGATGCGACCTAGCGATAAAAGTTCCTACGAAATATTAGAATTTTCAGCTTACCCTCTCTAATGTTAGCACGCTTCAAACATATAGCACAACGATGCACAAACCCATCAGTTGATCTGCTAAAGCTTTTTAAAGTCATGATACCAACACAAGAACAAGTTCGCTCCTTCTGAAGCAACCCTAAATCCAGGCAATACTAGAAAACACTGTCCTCCTCGAATTGCAACCTTAACCTTGTAAGGTCACGCATTAGAATTGAATCAAGCGCTCTACAACATTAAACTAACGTTCGCGAATCTCATTGGATAATTCGCTGATTGGTAGTTAGTGCTGTCGAAATTTTAACTTCGCCAGAATACCAAGTCGAATGATTATGCCAATACCTCATCATATATATATTCAATGCAATATAAACTTATACTACTTAAATAAGTATAAAGTAGTATAAAGTTTAGCACAAAGGAATATGGCAAAGGAAAATATATCATACAGAGGTGCAAAAGAAAAAAACATTTCAGGATTTCATCATGAGCTGACATTAGGTAGAGAACCATTGGAAAACCCGGGAGTACTGGACAGCTGTTTCGTCCTAGTTTGGGACTCTTAAGCAGTACGCATCCACCGGGGTTCCAGTCGGGTGTGAGGACAAATACTCGCCGAAGACATTTGCTAGCGGTTGGGCTATGTCGTGAATTGGAGAAGTTAGAATTCAAGGACAATTGGATCGGGTCCCAGTAGCTGAATGGTACACGAGCTCGCCTTGTAACCGGAAGGTCCTGGGTTGGAACCCCAGTGGGTGCGTACTGCTGAAGAGTCCCAAACTAAGACGAAACAGCTGTCCAGTACTCCCAGCTGGTGTTCCAATGGTTCTCTAACTAATGTCAGCTCATGATGAAATCCTGAAACCAATCAAATCCCTACAAACCATCACTTGAAAAAAACATTTGAGCAAAGAATAGTCTTTACGATGATTTCCTCTTCTTACACCACAGGTATATATAATGCTGTAGAATAGTCGTGCCTTTAAAGTAATATCGATTTATTAACATCACAAAAAGGATGGAATTACCATACTTCAAGAAAGATGTTTTATTTATAAGAACTATAAAAGTGTAATAGTATATAGAATATCAAATGAAATTAAAGAAATTTCCTCAACAAACTGAGGATCATTGGAATCATGGTTAACGGCCAAGGTAATAAAAGTGTCTGAACCAATTCCTTCTGTAACAACAGAAGACAAGGGCCAGGCAACAGATCGTTTTATTATGAAAATCAACACGTATTTATACATATTTCACATACATTATTATAGCTTATGCAAGTAGACAAGCACAGTTATCTGATTGGTTGTTTATCAGAAGTTAGGCAGACAAACGCAGGCTTCTGATTGGTTGTTTAGGGATTCCTCGACAAATAGAGTTCTCTATCTGCGAATCATATTTTGCCACGTTAACTTTGCTGTGATTGGTTGTTGAATCAGCCTTGCTCATATTTTCTCACGGCCTGCTCTCACCACACTTCTTCCACATATACAAATAAGGCTTCTCAACGTAGATTCTGACAGCCAACCTCAGCAATATGTGTGATAGACGAACTCTTGAAGTAAAGTGAGGATTAGTTGGGTTCTATGTTCATGAGATGAGGTAGTATAGGACTTTGTAACTTAAGTCTGTAAGTCTGTAACTAATTTAATCCCTATACAGGATGAAGTTGGGAAATCCAACAATGAACACGTTTATCTGTGCGCCATATGTAACTAGCTGGCTCGCTGCACAGGAGCAATAGAACTGGTAGATACACATAGACGAGGTAAATTTAGGTGGTTTATCTTTAACTTCCGAATACAAAATACTGGTAGTTTTGAAGAGATAGAACACTTCAGTGACATTGAATACCGCCGTATTCCAAAACTGTTGATACTCTGACATGCCATGACTTCCGATTCATATTCTTATCACTGAATTTCTTTTGGGTAACCATTCTCGCTCAGTAACTAACTGTTTAATAATATTAAACTTCTCACTAGGAAATTGTTCACCAGAGCAATTTACTTATGTTCTGTGGGTTGATTGTGTTTGCATTAGAGAGATAAGAAGCTGCGGGAAAGCAGTTTACTGATCAGTTAAAGTAAGTTTTCTACACACACACACACACACTTCTTCTACTTATTGTATCTTCCGATTTTCTGGTCAAAAAGGTGTTTAGCAATCAAGTAATAGAGTTTCTTTCTTTCTCAATGGTAAAATTATCACAAGATTCACATCATTAAATGTGTCAAAGCTCCATTGCCTTCGGTTTCCTGCCAACTTTTTTACTCCACTTCAAGTCTGACCACATGCTTTTATCTCCTCTTCACATGACCTCCTACAAGTCACGCTTCCATTGGCGACCAACTCGCCGTTTCCCATTCGATCGGTTCCTGCTGGGTTGGCTCGCTCATTACCAGAGTTCCCTGTTGCTGATCTTCTCTGGCCGGCCATCTGATCTTGAGTATTGGGCGAAGACAACTGTTAATGAAGGTCTGCAGTTTGTTTGAGGTGCTTTTCGTGACACGGCGTCAAGACTCTGATCCGTATGGTGAGTAGCACTGACTGACTTCACATTGGAGTTGAAGATCCGGATGTTATTTTTGATGCTGAGTTGTGAGTGTTGACTTCCACACAGACTTGAGAGTAATGAAAGCTTGTCTCACTTTTCCGATTCTAGCTTTGATATCCTTGTCAGTTCCGTTGGCCTGTAGTTGAAACGATGCTTCCCAGGTAGGTAGGTAGGTAGGTGAAGGAGGTTGTTTCTTTCAGGTTCCTCTTATTTATGATGACTGACTGTTGGTGTTGGCCAAGAATCCTCATCACCTCTGTTTTATCTATGTTCACTTGAAGTCCTATCTCTGATGCTTCTTCTGTCGCCAGCTTGTTGCTTCTCATCATTTGCATATCTTCCAGTTTGTGGGAAATCAGACATATGTCATCATCGGTGAAGTCCAGATCCTCCAAGTTCTCTTTTTATGTGAGTCCATTCTATGCCTGTTTCCTCATTGCCTGTTGTCTGTCGCATTATCCAGTCTACTGCAATCAGGAAGATCATTGGCGATAATAGACAGCCTTGCCTCACTCCCGTCCTATATCAAGTATACCATGTATACATCAATACATGATCGAACCTATATATATATATATGTATAATTCCTTTATGGTCTCAGTGGAGCATATGACTTCAAGCTTGAGGTTTCAAGTTCCGGTAGCACTAGTGCTTATTTTTAAGGGATGGGGTTGCAAGCCTCATACGCAACCCCCACCCCGCGCTTTACCAGCCTTATTACTAGCTCAGTGAAGTTCAGGGGTGTGCGTCGGCCGGATATCGAACCCCTGACCAAATGCGTGGATGGTGAGTATTCTACCGCTGTGCAACCAACGCATATATATATATGCATTTTTTCTTTCACGTTCCTAGTGGATCATAGGGCCTCAAGCTAATGGCTTGAAGTTTCTGTAGTTGTGTTGATTATTTTTTTACAGGATAAGGTTGCTAGCCTCATGCCCAACTTTTCCTCTTTACCAGGATTATTTCTGGCTTAGCAACAGAGGTAGAGGAGTGCGTCATTGGTCGGGGATCGAACCCCGGACCTTGTGCATGGTCGGCGAACGTCCTAACCGCTGTGCCACTGACGTACAACATATATATATATATATACATATATAAATATATTTAATTGCAGATCCAGGCGGGGAATTTATCGAAATGAACATTATCTTCTCAAATTTTCTGTCATCTTTTAAATCTCTTATAAATGACTTTTTCCGCTAATTACTAAAACCCTTTTGCTTATTTTACCCCGCACCCCCCCCACCCACGCCCTACGCCACCCCAACCACCGAAAAATACGAAAACCTTTCAGATATACAATTTCAGTTAAATTTACAACCTGGTCAAACCTGGGATTTAACTCAACAATATATATTAGCAAAAATTAAAAAGCTACCCTCTGAATTACAACATCTCCCGCTAGAGCTGGCTTTGGATATTCGATCAACAAATGGAACTTTTGTAAGTATAAATGAAAAAAAATTAAAACATGAAATCGTTTTTTTTGTGTCATATATAAATGTACTACTGATATGTATAATTTGCTTTATTCCAGAAACAGTACTAGTGGTACAGTGTGGAACTTTAAGCACTTTATCTACAATGTTGCATCTAATTTCATTGCACATTTAAAAAGAGTATTTCAAAAAAGAAATAAATATAAAAAACAACAACAACAAAAACAAAAAAAAACACAAAAATAACAAAAATGCGAAAAAATACCAAGAAGTAGAATGGAAAATAAACAACATAATAATTAATACCACAGTATTGGGTAGTGGAAGCTAATGATATGTGTATGCGTGGTGAACAGTGACAGTTATAATCATACAAGAAGTTATAAAAATGATATTTAAGAATGTTTATCGCCAAGATGATCAGTTCGATTTGATTGAATGACACTGAACAATCATAAAATAAACATTTCAGGTTGTGTTTTTTTTATTGTCAGCTCTAATGCGGTGTTTCTAGTGGTAGTGTGAGTAATCCTGCACAATACAAAATTTTTAACATGATGATAACGGCGATCACAACCAAGATTGTCAGGTAATATTGCCGAACAAAGAAAAAAAACGACCACAAAACTAATATTCCATGATGGTTAATGACAGGACAATTTTGTAATACTCATAATGAGAATATAGTCGGAACCAGGTAGCTAAGTATGTTTAAGAAGGTGTTCACTACAGAATACAAATAAGAGAGAGAAATAAAAGAGCTTAAAAATTATGTTATTAACAACAAAACAAGTCATAGGTTTCGCGCTTAACATTGCCTCTGTCACTTAGAACATGGGCTGGCCAAATATGGTATTGTTGAGTTCCTATACTTGGTTGTACAAGCATATATTATTTTGTAGTGATTTCCAGTTCTACCTGATGAGATACAAGCAGAACCAGAAATACAGGTACATATATACACATATTGGGAAATTCGCGTTTTTTGTGAATCAAGAATATGTGAGGAAGTCAACAAAAAGGATCCCGTTTTTCATATCTGGGATCATAATTCCTGAGAAAGTTGACGCTGTTTTGTGCAATAAAGGATTCAAAGTGTGGTAATAGCAGCATAAAGCTAAAATGTCTGGATAATAAAACTGATATGTATCCACATGATGTGTGTTTTGTTTTTGACAGTCTATTATATTTTGCTATGTGTATATGGATCGATATTTCATTATAACTGACTATACGCTTTTGTCCGTCCACTAACTAAATAAACAATGTATGACCGTGTTGTCACATGACATTACAACCAATCATATTAAGACTGTCATCTATTGGTACATGTGTATTAGCCATTTTCATATATACTTTTGTACAATATACTTGTTCCCATGTTTCGTACACTACGTACCATTTTAACTCACACTTTTGTGTGACAGTCATTATTTTCCTTGTCTGGAAAATACAAGTATCATTGTAAACCTGGTGGTCTTCTGATTTCCTTCTTTCCGCGTCAGGACTATTAACTACTCGACAAGTACATAACATAATTGGCGACGGGGGAAACTCTAATAACTCACTCAACAGCAGTACATAACAAAAACATACTAATGCAGACAGAAAAAAGGGGGTGTGAGTCGCTGCACAAAAGATTGTGATACTTAATCTCGAGTTGAAAAGTGATATTGAAGCTGAAATTCTACCCCTTCCCCGGTAAATGGCTTTTGAAATCTGTCAGGGAGTTACCTGGGGTTCAAGTGGGAAGCTGTGACCAGTAACGCATAGCAGGCTGAAGGTGAGGACAGTTTCTCATCGAAGAAGACATTGCGAAATGGTCGCCTTATGTCGTAAATTGGCAGAAGCTGCAATTCATAGGCTGACCACTGAATTGTGTCCCAGTGGCTTTATGGTCTACGCGCTAGCTCGCCTCGTAACCAGAAGATCCTGGGTTACAACTCCTATGGTGGGTGTCCCGAACAACTTTACAGTACTCCCAGCTGATTTTCCAATCGTTCTGTAATTGATGTCAGCTCACGATGAAATCCTCCAACAAAATCACCATAAAACCAATTCTTTAAAGTGCCTATATCAGTCCACTTGTTCGTGTGGAGTTGCACAAACGCAAATTTGCCATAATATGTGTGCGCTTCTAAAACGCGCTTAAGAACACTATCCAGCATGGTTGGTAAAAAAAGGAGAATGTAAGGGTATATTTATTTCGGCAACAGGACATCTAGTCAATTCGGAACATTCAGCTCAATTTGCTAAGTTTTTCGAATTCCTATACGAGAGATTCAATCAAACTCCCCTCTCTCTCTCAAAATGAGGGAAGTCAAAGCATTTGTCTCGAAATAGTTGAGACACAGCAAAGTTAAACGTTAAGCTCCACTAACTACTACTAATAAACGAATGACCTTGAACGCACCAATCACATGAAGGAGGCATTTTTGGGTACACAATACACATAGTTATGGAAAAATAAACTGTTACTTGGGATACCTTTCTCTCACATATGATACAGACGTCTTCCAGTTTAACATAGGAGTATCAGCTGAAGAGCCACATCACATCCTATGCAGATATTCATCGAAATGACCATAAATGTCATCCTTTTAAGATCCACTAATCGCCCTAATCCTGGTTTATTTAACCTTCCACAAAAGGCTTCTATGGGCATGATGCAGGCCCCTGTAATGGGATCCACAAAATCGCTAGAATGGTTGACTCTTCAGTGGCGAATATATATCCAAGAGATAACTGGGAGTTATAATTTTTCCACTCATCGGTGTGTATTATAGGATTTTGTTTCACAAGTCGACTGATAATAGATACTGAGGTAGTCGACTTTCTGTCTGCTATCCTCTCGACGATTCTTTTCTGTAAACAGGTGTCATATTAGCTAATCATCCAAACATTGTTTCCTCGTTCACGACCACAGCTGCACTTTTTCTTCAATAAGACAGTTTCATCCACATGTAAGATGACACCTTCTTCTCCTAATAACGCAGTAATTCTCTCAATTTTCCATGACGCAATATCCCTGCAATGCTGGTGCCAGTAAACTGTTGATACGAGACGATTTTCAATTCCAGTAGCTGCGCCTTTCACAGGCTATTTTCAAACCCAGAGTAATTACAAGTATACAAAATCTAGGTTAAGGACAAGTGGGGCCAGGCAAAATATGTTCCTACGAAATATTAGAATGCTCAGCTTACCTTCCCTGATAAAAAAACTCTTCTGAAACAACCTGCACGATGATGAACATATTCAGCAGTCGATCTGCTGAAGCTTTTTATACCCATGACACCGAACTGCAAGCGTAACTGCGTTACAGCAGGCATCTGACTCAAATCAAGTGGACTAGAATCGTCACCTCATGTGGATGAAACACTCATTGCATCACTCAACGTCATTCACTGATTGGTAGTTAGTAGTACCTAAAGTTTAACTTCGTCCGAGGCACAGGCGAACCAAAAGTACAAGCCCGTCACTTTATATTCATCAAAAGAAATGCATCCAACCAATTGTCACTACCACGGTCATCATAAAAAGTCAATCTTATCATTACCCGTTTATTTCGATTATTCTTGCGTGATATATATTTTTATAGTTCCTATCTGCATCACCCTGTTTTGTTATCCGAACGTTTTGGTTATTGTCTTATCACTACACGTGTAACCCTTTATTGTACAAAAGCGTTTATTTATGGGTTTAAAAAGTTGCACGCGTGAAACTCACAAATTGCATGTCAGTATTCTATTCCCTCAACATGAGGTGAAATTACATCGCAGCTCGCTATAGGAATCGAAATTACTCAAATCATAATATCTAATCTGTTTTTTTTATCCATAAATTCTAATTAAGAAGGCAAATATATTTGGATGAGATAACATACTACTGATTAGTTGAGTTAGATGAGTAGTTAGTTGCATACCATGCATACCAACTAATAGGGCTTGTTAACCATGTGCTGAAATGATCTAAACACGGGATTGCATGATTTGAAAAGATTCGCCTCTGATTAGTTATTTGTTGAATGCCACAAAATCTCGGAGAATCACAGGCAAAAACTAACAAACTGGCTGAAGAAGCCACTATCAAAGACAGAACTCCAGGAGGGCATAGAGAAGACAGGGGAGGTGATGAAGATACCTGGTCGGCTAACAACAACAACAGCAACAAAAACAGTCGGCACTAATGATTACTTCCTTCACTTTCCTAACATTGTTTCAAGCACCACAGGCAGTCAGAACGTCTGACGATGCCAACACCGGAAAGAATTGGAAAGACAAGTCTACGCCTTCATCAAATCTGAAACCACTTTCCAGGTAGTCTGAACTAACTCAGCATAAAGAAGGAGATTCAGATGTTCAACACAAATGTCAGCAAGTCAGCAAGTTATTCTAAGTGGGTTGGAGATCTGCACTGCGCGTCAATAAAATCATTTCCAACAGCCTACTGTAGATTTTTAAAAAGCAGCTTCCCTTTTCTGGCTTCATATTGAAGATCAAATGGCCGGTTGACCGGCTAGAAAAAATAAGCAGCACAATATAAACTCTGCAGTGGAACAAACCACTCGATAGCCGATTTCTCCGCAGATATGTGTGAGAAGTTGGAGATAGGTCGGTTGGTCGGTCCTACGTTGATAAGATCGTTGAATGACATCGCGCTTAATACAGGCTATCACTCGAGTGGAATCTCAATGGGAAACGACGAGTGAGTAGTCGGTGAGATGTTGAAATGGGGGAGGGGAGATCTTGTGATGATGATAAGGAGGAGTAGATGGAAGATGATGGGCGAGCGATTTTGGAGCCAGCCAGCTGAAGAGGATGGAGGAGAATAAGACAAAGATGAGGCGTGTTGTTGAAATCCTAAGTTCCACTTGGAACTCAACAGAATAATGATGATAATAATAAAGTCCCAGTTTATGTATGAAAACTTAATCATCCTTCTTCAGCATCGGGTGACGTTTAACGTTTTTGTCAAATTGGTTAATCGGTGAAGATAACGAAGATT